TACAGTCCCTTTTTCTATGTTTTACGTGAGAGTCGTTGACTTTACTCTAGTATACTGTATTTTTTTCTAGTAAAAAGGTTTTTAGAAATTGTGGTCCAAATGATTGTTGACAAATTGGATTATTTTGTCAAATTGGTTTTATAATTACTTTTTAAAATATAAATTGATATTTATTATAATTATTTAATATAAGAGTGTGGTGACATAGTAAAGTGGTAGAGTTGTTGCACCCCCAAGCTAGCTTGTAACTAAGATACCAAGTTCAAATCCTACTGACAACATTTCAAACAAAACTACTTGTATTATAGTAACAAATCTTCATTGATAAGTTGAGTTATATTACCCATAACTTCGATCACACTAGTGCTAGTAGTGTACTAGAAGATTCTGGAAGTATTTGGTAATACAAGTTCATGCTTTAATATTAAATTTCACTGATCTGTATACAGATCATGAATTAAATATATTGGCTTTTGTTCATTTCAGTAAAAAATTGATTTATATCTCTTAAACTGTCCAGCAGGCAAATATGCCTGCTAGAATTTTTTTTAACATATTTTTTTAGAATTACTAAACATTTTATTAAGGATAAGTACCCCTATTACTAAGCTAAAATAAAAATTTAGCATATTGTTAATTAATATTTATTAAAATTTTAATTATACATATATTTAAATATAAATAAAAAATTAGTTTAAATATAGCCAATTCTTTAATTTTACTATGAAATTTTTTTTAAAAATTTTTAAAAATTTTAAAATTTTTATATTTATTTAAAGAGGAAAAAAGTTTTCTCTATTAATAAAAGTTAAATTTTTAATTATAAAATTATAAAAACTTTTATAATAAAAGTTGTTTATAATAACTTAATTTATACTGTAATTTGTATCAAAATTATTGGGTACATATCCTTAGAATTTTTAAAAGTTTGTCTATGATTAAAAATAAAATCTTTAAAAATCAAAAATTTTTGAAAATTTTAAATTTTTTTAGTTTATAGTCAACTTAAATTTTTTTTATATAAATGTAAAAATTAAAATTATTAAAATATAATCTATAATCATAGTTGATATTTAAAAAAAAAATTTTTAAAATAACTTAATTTTTGATAAAAATAAATCAGAACCAATTTTTAAAACTTCTTAAAAATTTTAGCAGGCAAATTTGCTTGCTAAAATGGATGGTTTAAGGAATAATTGCAAAAGACTTAAAATTAAAAAATTTTTATATAATTGATTTTTTAGCATAGGATAAATTTGAAAACAAATGAGATCTTTACTAACAAATGACCTTGGGCATTATGATTTATATAGTCTAAGGGTCCTTTAACCCGAGTCAAAATAGAATTTCTGAAACTCCCACATATACATAGCTATGATATCTTTTTACCTCATATGCAGAACTGTAAGCACATAAAAGATTCAGAAAACAAAAAAAAAACAAGAATATCCAGCGTATTATTTCAAAAGTGTAAGGCGTGGACACGGTAGAATGATAATTTGATAAAATATTTTTTTACTTTGTTATTGATTTTTTTATTTCAACTGTACAGAATGTTTTTTTTGTTACGTTCTTACTATGTATTTAAAATGTATTTACAAGACGAATATGATTCGATATAAAGATTCTATCAGCTATTAAAAATAGAGATGGATTCATTCTTTGGGTTATACCTTAATAATCATATTACAATGACACATTTGTATAATATAGGAGAATTGTGTGCAAACTACTTCAAAGAAAACAAATTAGCTGTTCAAATTCAAGAATATGAAGAATCGAAAAATTGGAACCATAATCTGAAAAAAGAACATGCAATACTCTAATCTCAAACCTCGAATATAAAGGAAATTGACTTTAATTAAACTCACAAGAAATAATATAACATTGTTAATACAAAAGGTTACGCCGTCATGTAATTAATTGAACGTAAAGTTGGTGCACTCAATTGTATTTGAATTACTTTTTTTTTAGTGAAAGTTTGTACATTTATTGATTTATTTAATTTGTTAAGAAACCCATTAGCCAAAGGTAAGGGCGTTAATTAGTCCGCAGCAAATGCGAACCGATTTTTGACTAAGTTGCATTTTTAACTGGACTTTGGTCAATAAACAAAGTTATAGAAAATTTATTTTTCGATATCCAAATTTTTAAACAGACTAAATTTCCTCGGACACTTCTTAATTACATATGTAATAATGATATTTTATTAAAATAATTTCCTATAACTTTACTACCTGGAGACCAGTTAAAAATTTAGCCGGGGAGACATTATTAACGTCGAATTTCTATTTAAGGATCCCACTCTATTAAAATGCAATGATGTGAAAATTAGCTCCCGATCGTATTACCGATCGGTGTAATTAGTCAGAATTAACAAGAACCAAAGTTGTACAACAAAGCACAGACGCAGAAAAAATTGATATTTAACGCAGCTCAATTTAACATTTAACATGTGCATATTTTTAATCCAGTCCGTAATCTCTAAAAAAATAACTAGTCTAGATTTTTTTTTAGCATGGCCGAATTTGATGGACCACAGATAGGAACTTCAGCAAACAATTTTTTCCAATCCGATCGGGACATTGCAATCCAAGAACGTAGAGCTAAAAAACAACAGAATAAAACTGGTGATCCGATTGAATGTACTTCAAAAGTTTTATGTATGATACTTCCTGAAAAGATCGATGATTCTGATTATGCTTATATTGGAGAATCAGGATTTATTGCGAAAAAAATTAACTTATCGGTATGATCTATAGATAAATATATGGATAAACTAATTTATACCTAACGCATAATAATATCGTTTTCCTCATTTATATATATATAGACTAAAAAAACTGTAAAGATTTTTAAAGGTCATACTGGCCCCATTACTTGCCTTGGTTTGTGGTATAAGGATGGAATTGAATATCTGATTACAGGTTCTTGGGATAAAACACTTAGAAAATGGGATTCAAAGGTACTATAATAATAATAATAATAATAATAATAAATAATAATAATAATATACACATTGTTAATTTCTTTGAACATGTTAATAATAAAATTTTGCTCGTAGACAAAAGAATCTCTTTGTACTTTCAGTTTACACACGGACTTTGTTAAATCCTTAGCAATTTCGCATAAAACCTCTACTTTATTTTCTGGCTCTTCAGATAAGCAAATTCGTTCATGGAATCTTTTAACCGGTGAACCATTGAAAGTTTTTAAGAAACATACTCGTGGAATCGAAGATCTCACATTTGATGAAGGGGAAGCCTTTTTATTTTCCGCATCTTCGGACGGTCATATTATAAAATGGAATCCTTTATCAGGAGAATGCTTGCAAATATTTGAAGGTCATTTGACTAGTGTGTATGCTTTAAAGGTTTTTGACGAAGAGATGTGGACAGGTTTGTTTATTATATATCTAGAAATGTGTAATATATATGTGTGATAATTCATATTAATATCAATTATCGCTACCATTAGGGAATCGATTTTTCCACACCCTTTTTTTGATAATGATCACACACCCCTGTTAATGTAGATCATAACAATTTTTTTAAACTTTGATTAAAGATATCTCAACTTCTACTTAACTAAATTTTGGGAACATTTTATCGAATTTGGTGTCAATATATCTTTGATCAAGGCTTAAACCCAAATTTTACCGCAGCTTAAATTTTACCAATTTTTGAAAATGTCTCGACATTTACCTAATCAAATTTAATGAACTTATTTTGTTTTAATTGTAGAAAGCAGTAGAATTCAAAAAAAAAAAAAAAAAGCTCATCGAACTTGGTTAGGTGGGTGTCGAGATATTTTCGATCAATGTTTAAAAACAATTTTTGATGCAGCTTTTATTTATGAAAAATGGTTAAAATTTTATTAAATTTTGATTGAAGATCTTGATATCTACCTAACCAAATTTGGTGACCTTTTTTTTGTTTGAATCTTTGCTACTTTCTATAATTAAAAAAAAATAGTTCATCAAATTTAGCTAGGCAGGTGTCAAATATCTTCGATCAAATTTAAAAAAATTAACATTGACAGAGGTGTGGCATTATCATAAGAAGGGTGTGAAAATATCAATTCCCTTACCATTATCACTTACATTGATTAAAGCTTCAGCAGACATGACCGTTAAAAGATGGGATCTATATGTAAGTAATTCGAAACTTAATTGTTTAACATATCTTTCTGACGACTTCATTTTTCTTTCTTTGAATAGACTGGAAAATCGGATATGTCTTTAGAACATCCTGACTTTGTTAAATGCCTTGCTATTTGTGGTCCTTATATTATCACTGGTTCACGAGATGAGTCTATACGTGTTTTCGATATTGGGGTTTGTACATCATAAAATAGTACTTTCTTGTATTTATTTAGTGATATAATACATTATTATCATTTGATACTCTAACAGAGTGGGAAATTGATCAAGGTTATTGACGGTCACTTCGATGAAGTATCGTGCACAGCAGTAAGAGAAAAATCATTATATACAGGGTCCCTTGATTGTACATTAAGAATGTGGTCTCTTACTGGTATGTAAATTATTGTACCCGGAATACGGCAAAAACCAGTAATGATAAATTTTATTTTAATAACTATGAAAGACATTGCGAGTCAAGAACCCCAGTCAAAACCAACAGTTCAAGAAGAAACATCATCATCATTGCTTACAGAAGAGGAAGAACGCGAATTAAAAGAATTAATGGAAACAGAAGATATGTGAAATACTAATCATCTTTCAATAGTATATTTATATATTTAATCTTACGAGATCCTTGTTTCATGTGAGCTATCATAAATTAAATTTATTAATGATAAATCAAATTTATCCCTTAGTGATTTAAAAATATAAAATATAATAAAATTAATAGCAAATTAAAGATACATGATATATGTGAATATAACTAATGTAAGATGCTAATAATGTAATTAAACCCTTTCCCTATACTCAATTTTGGAATACCAAGAATTTTTTTATTCTCGACAAAAATATTGAATTAAACGTGTTCCTCCTCCTCCTCCATATCAGTCTTCATCTCAAATAAAATGTCATAACATTCATTCAACAAAGCCATAACGATACCTTGCCCTTCTGGCACTGATCCATCTGTATCCAGAAACTTACCATCTTTACGAAGATTATCAATAGATGCAAGTTTCATCTGATAATGATATAGTTCTCTAGCTGAAAACGAAAAAAAAAGAACATATATATTCATAATATTACATATATGTAATAAATTAATATTTTTATGCAGCATGTCTAAACCATTAAGAATATTTTTTGATAAATCCATGACATACTTGTAAATGGGCCACCTAATTTTTTGACCTCAAGTAAAAGCTTTCTCACAGTTCGAAGTTGATTATGAATCGGTATAAGAGGTTCAGCAATAGGTTCACTGGAACTTAATAACTTATACACCAGTCGATAACATTTGTGCAACAAATAGAGCAAAGTCTACAAGTGAAATATAAAGTCCAACATGTATGAATAAATAGTCAAGTATTAATGAAATTAGATGCATAAAAATGGCAGATTCATTAATATTTTAACATATACCGCCTGTCCTTCTGGAATATTCCCTTCATCATCATAGAATTTACCATCCTTTCTCATACTATCAATCTTTGCTAGTTGCAACTGATAAGACCATAAATCAGTTTCGCGCAACGACCACCGATGTGTAAGCACCAGACGTTCAAGTTGTGATTTTAAATCGATTAAACGATCATAAAAAGGTCTTAAGAACTCTGCTACATTATTTTGGCTAGCAATTAATTCGTGTGCATCTTCATAGCATTCCTCTAACAGCCCAATAACCTGTGCCTGCCCTGGAGGAATACTTCCATCAGACGACAAAAACTTGCCATCCACACGCTTAGAATCAATAGCTCTTAGCTTATTTTGATATGGGATGATATCAGAAATCTTAGCTTCGCCTTTGGCCCCTATAGCGCCGAGATTTCTCTTGATCTCTACAAGGGATTGACGAATGGGTACAAGTTCTTCACCCATATTTGACTCAGATTCAAGTAGTTGATTCAACACCATTTCTGTTCATTAAAATAATTAAATAACTTGTATTCGAATTGTGAATTTAAAAACAAAACAATAATAAAAAAAAGGATAAACTCGTACCGCACGAAACAAGTTTATGCTTCAGTAATTTCATTTGAGGTTCTGGTATACCCTCATTTTGTTCAGCATATATAATTTTTCTAATTTCACTTAAACGATTTTGATATGCTGATACTTCAGCTATTAATTTCGAAAATTAAAAATATAATATTTATGAAAATATTCTGAAAAAAATAAAATAAAATAAAATAAAATAAATTATTATTATACTTACCTTGCGTATAAACACCGGATTCATTAAGATGTTCTAAACATTGCTGCGGACAAGAATGTGAATTTTCACCGTAGAATTATTTACAAATAGAGCTTCGGAAATGAACAGTAACGGGCGATAAAGACCAACCTTGATCGTGGCAAGTTGTGCATAAGTCGCCGGACTCTCCTTGCTTTTTCCAATCGTGATAAAGAATAAAGAAAGTAGCTGGAAAACGTCGTCAAGAACATCGTTTACGCGATTGTCCTTCGATGGAGGTTCTGTAGCTTTTTCACGAATGTCATTTATCTTTGTAACTTGTTCCGTGACCTACGTTATAAATTCAGTTTTCGTTACGATTTCAGTTGATAATCAATTAGAGATCTTAAAAATAGAATATAAACCTCGTCATAAATCTCCGTGACAGCCTGCACTTTTATGTAATTCTGCCGATCTTGCTTTAAAGCATGTAGACGATTTCTTATGTTAATTAAGGCTTCAAGTATTGGAAGCTCTTCATTAGGTACACGAGTTGACATTTTATTTTAGATTATTATTATTAGTAGTAGTATTATTTGGTTTCTAAAGATTAAACACCTGAATTTATATTTTAACGTTAAATCATTTCATATTAGCGTTAGCCGCATTTAGAGGAAGGATTAAATTTTCGTCCTGCAAAGTTAGCGTGACAAATTTTGTTTTTATTGGCTGATCAACAAAAACCCCAATTGGCCAAAATTAAACGTTAATTGAATTTGGTTAAAACTCGTATGTGAAAATCACGCTTTTTTTTTTTAAAAAAAAAATTTAATATAGGCGAAGGCTTTAAAACAAATTACTTAATAAAATACCCGAGTATATTATACAGCAGAGGATCTCTATCGCAAACTAGAAAAAAATTTCAAATGTATTCACATTCTTTATTCATAGTATACAGCCCGAGACTTTAAAAAGAGCTTGCTCACGATGAATGGTCCACATTTATGCACGTGAGTTACACACGTTGATACTTATTTTAAATCATGTCTACTCGAACTATCACGTTCTGATTGGATGAAATTTACTACCTATCTGCTATTTTATCTGCTATTCGAAATCTATGTAGAAATTTTTTTACGAATCTATAAAATTACAGCTGTTTTCATAAATTCTAGTCAGATGGAATAAAAACACAATTAGTGTTCCAAGCCGATTACGTTAGCCGCTTAGCCAGCCACTTAGCCGCTTAGCTAGCTGATAGTCCAATCAGCCGGCTAATAACGGCTAATACAAAATTCGAAGTTGTATATAACTAAAATTTATATAGTATAAAAAAAAAACCATTACCAAACTTAAATCTCTGCTATCATTATACGTCGAATTAAAAAATTTGCATCAGGTCAAAATAACTATAATGTAATGCCACTAATAAGCTACCCAACATAGGGTTCTAATTAAACTCTGTTTTGAAATCTTGATCTGGCACAAATATAACATATATAAGATTTGGTAACAAATCTTTATTCGATTAAATACTTAATTATTTCCAAGGATTTAATTTGTATTTAAAATTCTATAGTATAAAAACAGTCGGAATATTTAAAGTAAACCCGAATCTAAAAAGCTACTCATTTTGAATGAAGTACTATATAGACATCCTATGATTCAGTATAACATAAATTATTGGCTAAGTCGCTAAGCCATTAAAAATATAATGGCTTAGCCTAGCTGTAAAAATTTAATCGACTTGGATCACTAGAATATTAGATAACTCTATTTCTATTTTTTTAAATAAGCATCCTGTAACAAAATCTTACTTTTAGATGCATTCACAGATCAGAGTCATCAGAGAGATATCCCCATCATCTATGGATTCCGTGCTATCATCTTCTAGTTTAAGAAGCAAGGAATTTATGGAGGCAAACAAACTTAGTGAGCTTATTTATACTTCGGAACAAATGTTGGATAAGTGTGAAAGTAAAAGCATAGAACTTTGAAGAATAAAGTTAGAACAAAATAATGATCCAACTTGTTCTTTGCCACAGCAGATAATAATTATAATGAAGGTGTGGGACGAATTTTGGGATTTACAATTCCCATAGGAAAGGAGATCATTAAAAATATGTCAATGATAGAGTGTCCAGACTCATGCGATTACATTTTAGGCACATAAAATGTACAACAAAATTACCTTTCTTGATGTAGCTAG